AGAAATACTCCAGGTGGACACCTTCAGCAATCAGGAGCTCCTCAGTTGCTCATAGCAAATCCCACCTTGGAGTTTACAAAGACTTATGAGTAGAAAAGCCACACAAAGTAATTTACTACACTGCAGAGGCTAAAGATCATAAAGTTTGGTAATGTAAAAGGTTTTTTGATACTGCTTTAAATTCCTGGCAAAATATACTACTACCTACATTTAATTTTATTGATAAGTTACTTGGATAGCTCTTGCTAGAATATGCTCTTGAATGTTTAGTTCTGATACTTGAACTTAGCTTAACTATTTCCTTCTATTTAAAATATGTACTTTTAAAAGAAGGATAAAATATACTTTTTATTAGAAAGAAGTTTGTATGACTGGAAGACAAGACCTGGCATATAAACCCAAGTTATACAAAATTTTATATAAGTGTTTAATTGTGTATTATAGTCTCAGTCCCTAGTAAATTGTGAGAAAGGGAGTCAAATGAGGTTTGATATAGTCAAAGAAGGTTTCGCAGTAGGTAAATTTTCATATGCTATGAAATAGGTAAAGCTTGACAGTATACAGTCCTTTAGGATTATAAAAATTCAGATGGTTACATCAGCACACATTCTCTAATCATTTTGATAGTAAGACATTGCTTTATATAAACACAGATTGCTTTAGGTCAAGAATTTAGTGTCCACTCAAGATAATTCAAAGACATCCAAATATGTGTTAAAAACTTTGCTATCACCCCACCTTGAGAAAAAATTATATTCCCTGCAATCTTCAATGGTTATGTTTTTCTGCTATTTCTTTATTACATTCCACTCTATAATTTCTAGCCTCCTCGGATGCTGCAAACAATTTGCGCTCAACTACTAATCTAAAATTTGGCACTGTGAAAGGAAGGCCTGGCAATGATCTGCTTCTGTAAAGGTTATAGCCAAGAAAACCCAATGGATTTCACCCAAATCAAAATAAAAAATTAAAAAAAGAGTAGCTTTACTCTGACAAAGGGTTGTCATGAGTGGGAATGGACTCAATGGCAATGAGTTTTTTATTTTTATGTAATTTCTGCTTCTTGATCTGTGTTAGATATGTTGATATTCCCAACTTATGATATTTCCCATGTGCTTTAGAATTAACATACAAGGTAGACCTTAAATGTCTCTGCAGTTTTGAACTTTATATTATCCTTTTCATAATTTGAAACATGAAATTGTGACTGCTGGTAGAAAAAAAACTAGCGTGAATTGTCAGTTTAATTATCTTTAAATTTTTTGTTAAAAAGAAACAAACTCTTAGAACTTAAGGTTTGAATTAACTTACTCTCTTTTGGTTATAGATATGGTAAGATTTCAAATTTCAGTCATCGACAGGTCAAGTATCTACAGAAGAATGTGAAGCGTAAGTCAAAGTTCCTGGATATGCGAAGACAAATAAATGTGAAAAACAAACAAATCTTTACCAAAGAGTCAGAAAGCCCATTTTGCAAGAAAAGCAAAGCTTTGAGTAAGGTATGTATAAATTAATATTTACTAAGTTAGTTCATTTTGTGAACTGAACTGTCAACCTTCTTAAAATTGTTATATTCAAATAGGAAGCCTGTCTCTACAAGAGATAAAAGTAGCTAAAATTCTTTTCCACATGCTTCCTGAAAGTCATATATTGTGTAATTAAATTTGTAATAATGCTAAGTTAGCAGCACTGTGCAAAGGGTGTATTTTGAACACTAGGAAGTAATAGTATCTAAGAAGATAAATAGGTAAAATTACCTTGCATATGTAATAACAGTCGAGGGAGAATTTCTCATCTATGTAAGGCTAAGTAGCATCTTGGTAGTTCTAAGTCTGTTACAGCTTTTACTGAATTCTGAGCCTGAGTTCTGAGCTCCTCCAAGATAAGAGAACAAACTTTGAAATAACAGATTCATCCTAATAGCATGAAACTTGAGGCCATTTTATTGATTTATGTTGTTAATGGGAATAACCATATCCCCTCTCTTGGACTTTTCTGTACCTGCTATCCATGTACCTGGGAAACAAAAGTAATTAGAAATTGCTTAGATTGATAAGTAATACTTCTCTATTATAGAAAAAAAAAACACCTTCCGTTGAGCAGAATGTTTGTGTCCACCACACCTCCAGGAACTCTTTTGGGCATTGCAACATTATTTCAGATTATTTGATGACTTTGTTTTACCCTTAGGGTACATTTTCTTTCCTAAGTTCAGCATACTTCCAAACCATGCTACAAATTTATTGTTGTTGCTGTTGTTATGTTCCATCGAGTCAGACCTGACACGTTGCAACCCCTCGTTGGGTTTCTGAGGCAGTATCACTATGGAAGTAGATTGCCTAACCTGCCTTCCGAGGAGTGGCAGGTGAGTTTGAACCACCAGCCTTCTAGTTAGCAGTCAAGTGCCTTAGGCACTATGCTATATTTATAGTTGATTTTATTTTTATTATATTTCGGTTTGTTTGGTTGCTGGTGATATTTTAATAAATATTTTAGTGACCCTATTTCTATCTGAAACTGACTGCCCAGTATCAATATAATCAATCCTATAGGACTCTTTATAATGTGTAATAGTCCCCATATATTCATGTATGGATGACAATCAGAGACATAATGGCTAAGTATTGCTAAGGGAAAAATAATATGGCTGTTGTGCCCTTAGATATCTGATTGATGTGTTGGCACATTCCCTTCAGAGGAAGATTCTGGGTTGTTGTCCATGTCCAATTTATGTCAACCACTCTCATTTGCTAACTCTGCAACATCAGCCTTACAATATTCTTGCAAGAGAAATGCAAGCAAATAAAACATATAACCTGGAGCCTTGATTAACATCTCAGAGAATAAACCTAGTTGTTAAGACACATTTTACTGGCTGTGCTGCTGGTGCAGTGTGTAAGGCTGCTAACCAGAAGGTCGGCAGTGCAGACCCACCAGCTGCTCTGTGGAAGGTAGATGGAGCTGTCTACTTCCATAAAGATTTATAGCCTTGGAAAGTCAGTGGTGGTTACTATGAGTTGGAATCAACTCAATGGTTTGGTTTCTTTTGTTGTTGTTTATTACTTCCTTAAAAGATCATTCTCCATCTTTCCAAGATAACACAATATTTAATCTTTTAAAAAGTTTGGCACTAAATCTTTTTACCATTCATCTCTGATGATAAATAACATTTAATATAGATGGTAACCAGAGCCATTGAAGAGAACTCTATGTAATTTGAAAAATTAAAATAAATGGTTAAACAATGTTGTTGTTGTTGTTAGGTGCCATCAAGTCATCTCCAACTCATAGCAACCCTATGTACTGCAGAATGAAACACTGCCCAGTCCTGTGCCAGCCTCATGATCCTTGCTATACTTGAGCCCATCGTTGCAACCACTGTGTCTGTCCATCCTGTTGAGGGCTTTCCCCCTCTACATTGACCCTCCACTTTACCAAGCATGATATCCTTCTGCGGGGAATGGTCCCTTCTGACAACATGGCCAAAGTAGGTGAGAAAAACTGTGGACATTCTCACTTCCAAGGAGCATTCTGGCTGCACTTCCTCCAGGACAGATTTGTTAGTCCTTTTAACAGACCATGGTACTCTTAGCATTCTTCTCCAACACGACAACTCAAAAACATCAACTCTGGGTCTTTCTTATTCATTGTCCAGCTTTCACATGCATAAGAGGTGGTTGAAAATACCATGGCTTGCGTTAGGCACACCTTAGTCTTCAAGGAGACATCTTTGCTTTTCCTCTGAAAGAGGTCCTTTGCAGCACATTTGCCCAGTGCAATATGTCCTCTGATGTGTTGACTGCTGCTTCCAGTCCTTTCTCCATCCACTGTGAAGTTATTTATCAGACCAGTTGTAAGGATTTTTATTTTCTTTATATTGAAGTGTAATCCATACTGCAAACTGTAGTCTATAATCTTCATCAGTAAATGCTTCAAGTCATCCTCACTTTCAGCAAGCAAGTTGTGTCATCTACATATCACAGGTCAGGTTGTTCATGAGTCTTCCAATCCTGATGCCACTTTCTTTTTCATATGATCCAGCTTCTTGGATTATTTGCTCAAAATACAAGTTGAATAAGTATGGTGAGAGGATACAACCTTGATACACTCCCTTCTTGATTTTGAACCATGCATTATCTCCTAGTTCTATGTGAACAACATCCCCCTGATCTAAGTACAGGTTCTTCATGGGTACAATTAAGTGTTTTGGAATTCCCATTCTTCTCAATGTTATCCACAATTTGTTATGATTTACACAATCGAATGCTTTTGCATAGTCAGTAAAACACAAATAAACATCTTTCTGGTATTCTCTGCTTTGAGCCAAGATCCATCTGACATCTGCAATGAGATCCCTTGTTCCACGCCCTTTTCTGAATCCAGCTTGCATTTCTGGAAGCTCTCTGTCAATATACTGCTGCAACTGTTTTTGAATTATCTTCAGTAAGATTTTACTTGCATGTGACATTAATGATATTCTTTGATAACTTCCACATTCTGTTGAATCACCTTTCTTTGGAATGGGTACAAATATGGATCTCTTCCAGTCAGTTGGCTAGACAGCTGATTTCCAGATCTCTTGGCATAACTGAGTGAGTGCCCCCAGTGGAGCATCCGTTTGTTGAAACATCTCAATGGATGTTCCATAATTTCCTGGACCCTTGTCCTTCTCTGATTCCATCAGTGCAGCTTTGACTTCTTCCTTCAGTAGCATTGGTTCTTGATCATATGCCACTTCCTGAAATAGATGAACATTGACAATTCTTTTTGGTACAGTGACTGTATATTCCTTCCATCTTCTTTTGATGCATCCTGCATCATTCAGTATTTTTCCCATAGGTCCTTTCAGTATTGCAACACGAGCCTTAAATTTTTTCCTCAGTTTTTTCAGCTTGAGAAATGCCAAGCGTGTTCTTCCCTTTTGGTTCTCTAACTCCAGGTCTTTGCATGTTTCATTATAGTAATTGGTTTTGTCTGCTTGAGCTGCTCTTTGAAATCTTCTGTTCAGCTCTTTTATCTTGTCATTTCTTCCATTTGCATTAGCTACTCTCCACTCAAGGGCAATTTTCAGAGTTTCTTCTGACATCCATTTTGATCTTTTCTTCCTTTCTTGTCTTTCTTCATGGAAGGTGTCCTTGATGTCATCCCACAATTTCTCTGGTTTTCCGTCATTGGGTGTTCAGTGTACCAAATCTATTCTTTAGATGGTCTCTAAATTCAGGAGGGATATTATCAAGGTCATATTTTGGCTCTCGTGGACTTGTTTTAATTGTCTTCAACTTCAACTTGAACATGCATATGACCAGTTGGTGGTCTATTCCACAATCAGCTCCTGGCCTTGATTTGGCCAAAGATATTGAACTTCTCTATCACCTTTTGCTGCAGATGTAGTCAGTCTGATTCCTGTGTATTCCATCTAGTGAAGTCCATGTGTATAGCCATCACTTATGTTGTTGCAATGAATAAGTCATGGGTCTTACAAAATTCTTTCATGCGATCTGCAGCATTAGTTCTATCACCAAGGCCATATTTTCCAACTACTGGTAATTCTTTGTTTCCAACTTTTGCGTTCCACTCAGCAGTGATAACATTTGATTGCATGTTCGATCAATTTCAGATTACAGAAGTTGGTAGAAATCTTCAATATTCTCATCTCTGGCTTTGGTGGTTGGTACATAAATTTGGATAATAGTGGTTGTGGTAGTTATGTTTGTGTGTCAATTTGGCTGGGCCTGATTGAGTGGCTGGGCAGCTAGTAGTAGTTATTCCCCATGATGAGACTGGCAGTCAACTCCATGGTGGGATCTACCACAAACAGCTGAGTAGCTGCCTTTGGGATGTGGTCTACTTCCTGTATATAAGGAGAAGGTTTGGGAATGGTCTCTAGCCTATGGCACACTTGGACCCTGCATGTAGCTGTGTTGTTGCTCCGCAGCCTGCTATGCTCTGCCGATTTGGGACTTACGATGGACTTAAGTTAATGGTCGTGTGGTTTGGTAACATCAAGACTGTGCCTTTTGACTTGTCAACCTTGGGGCTTCTCAGCCTCAGCAGCCAGCAGCTGTCTAAGTGAAGAAATGACTCTAGCTCCAGTGGGCCAGGAGCCGGAGGCAGAGCTGGACGCCATGGTTGAGGGGCTTTTCACCCATCCCCTAGAGCCTGGCACTTCAAACTTTGACTTAAAGCCTCCAAATTGTAAGAATAAACTCCTGTTTGTTAAGACTATCCTATTTGTGGTATATTCCTGTCAGAGCAGCACTAGGTAACCAAAACAGTGGTATTAACTGGTCTTCCTTGTAGCTATATGGATATTATCCTGTAACTGACAGTGTTGTACTTCAGAACAGATCTTGAAACAGTCTTTGTGATGATGAATGCCATACCATTCCTCTTCAATTTGTCATTCCCAGCATAGTAGATCATATGGTTGTATGATTCATAATGGCCAAAACCAACTTCCATTTCAGCTCACTAATGCCTCGGATATTGATCTTCATGTGTTCCATTTCATTTTTGACAACTTCTAGTTTTCCTAGATTCATACTTTGTACATTTCATGTTCCAATTATTAATGGATGTTTGCATCTCTTTCAGCTCATTTTTTGAGTCATGCTACATCAGCACATGTAGGTCCCGAAAGCTTTACTCTATCCATATCGTTAAGATTGGCTCTACTCTGAGGAGTCAGCTCTTCCCCAGGCAGCCTTCTGACTTGATGGGCTCATCTTCCAGCACTATGTCAGACAATGTTTCAGGGCTGTTCATAAAGTTTTCCAGTAATATATCAGACAGTGTTTCACTGCTATTCATAAGGTTTTCACTGGCCAGTTCTTTTGAGAAGTGGATGGCCTTTTCTTCCAAGCCTGTCTAAGGCCAGAAGCTCTGCTGGAACCTCTCCACTATGGGTAACCCTGCTGGCATTTTACAACACAGTGGCAAAGCGTCTAGCCTCACAGCAACACATAAGCCACCACAGGATGACATACTGACAAGTTCGTCTCCCTTAGTTGTTCCTAACCCCTCTGCACCAGCCTACTTCAGGCCCTTGCCTTAGTATAGAGCCACACCCAAGTGAAAAACAGCCACCAGGCCCCGGCCCTGCCTACGGTGTTGTTGTTACGTGCTGTGGAGTCGGGCCCGACTCATAGCAACCCCTCCTTGGGTTTCTGAGAAGTAGATTGCCCCACTGCAGAAGTAGATTGCCCAACCTTCCTTCCGAGGAGTGGCTGGTGGGTTTGAACCACCAGTCTTCTGGTTAGCAGTCAAGTGCCTTAGGCACTATGATACCAGAGCTCCTACTATAAGTAAGTGTATTTGTAATGGTAGCTGTAGTATCACACTACAGTTACATTGTTAGGGACCTTTATGAAGCAAGTTTGGCTAAATCTTCTAGTGTAAATTGGTAACACAGAGATCATAGTGTTGTGTTTAATCTGTTATTTTCTTTAAAGTCTTTAAAAAAAATCTTTAATAAGTTCATGGTATGTCAGGATAACAAATTGCATTTGGCTCAGAATTATTCACTTGTGCTTCTGTGATGCAGTGTACTTATCAGAGCTAGTAATTATGATACAGCTTGGCAGTCAAATTACAGATGATAAAATAGGTGGGAAATAAATGTCACTGATTTGTACATGTAGAAATTGTTGACTTGGTGTGTGTTCTATATGTATTCTTAACCAAAAATGTTTTTTTAAAAAAAAAAAAAACAGATGAGAAAGTCTGTAGTATGAAATTAACTCATTCTTATGACATCTTAAAATTTCAGGTAGAAAAATTCCTAAGATGGGTTAATGATGAGGAAGCAACACAGAAGTCATTTTCTCAGGACAGTGTGCAAGACACTTGCACGAGTAGTGATTCAGAGGAACAGCAAGTATCTGTTACAAAAGATGATGACACATTTGAGACTAGTAATCCAGAACCTGACAAATGCCAGACTGTATCATTAGCTGGTGAATTTGAAACAGAAAAAAATGAAGGAGACAGCATAGGAGCAACTGTAAAAGAAGAACAGGATCGTGTTATTCAGGAGATACCAGACTCTCTTCAGGTAGAAAATGAAGGTAAGAGTAAATATGACTCATCTTGCTAATGAGTTTAGATAAATACATTTTTTCTTTGATATGTTTTCCCCTAGTTCTCAGTTCTTAATCTTTTGTACCTAAGGATTCAGTGCTGTTTATTTTTAAGTTGCAAGAAGGCATATTGAGTGTAATATGCTAATGACTATGTATGGCATACAGGGTACTGTTCACTCTTGGCTGAGCAAGTTATGATAATGTAAATGTGAAGTATGTGGACAACTGTACTTTAAGGCCACATTCTGTGCCATTCCCATTGGTCTCTTCTGTGACCCTCTGTTCTTTGGACTAATAATAGGATTGGATATCCCAATCCTGGTTAGATCTTTTGACATTTGATGTTGGTATGGTTTTCTTTTAGATAATTCTTTTTTTTTTTTTTTCCTGTTTTTATGGTTGGTGGTATTAGTTTGTTTTTTATAATGGTACATTAGCATAAAGTGTACATGGTAGTTAGCTTTAATGAATATGGGACAGAGTAATATTTTCACTTTATACCCTTTCATACTGTTTGAATTTTTCACAGTAGATATGCGTTTTTTTAATGTGTGGTAAAATATACACAACATAAAATTTATAGATATGACCATTTTCAAGCACATAGTCCAGTGGCACTAATCACACTTCAAACATTGTGCGTGGAACTATCAACACTGTTTGTTTCCAAAAGTTTTCATCAACTCAAACAGAAACACTGTACCCATTAAGTAATTCCTTATACTGGGTTTTCTAAAGGAGCAAAACCAGTGAAGCATGTATGTATATATATAAATATATGTTGTTGTTGTTATATGCTGTCGAGTCGGCCCTGACTCGTAGCGACTCCTCCTTGGGTTTCCAAAGCAGTATCATACGGAAGTAGGATCACCCAACCTGCCTTCCAAGGAGTGGCTGGTGGGTTTGAACCGCCAGCCTTCTGGTTAGCAGTCAAGTGCCTTAGGCACTATGCTACCAGAGCTCCTTATATAAATATATGTTGTTGTTGTTATGTGCCATCAAGTCGGCCCCGACTGATAGCGACCCCTCCTTGGGTTTCCAAGGCAGTATCACTACAGAAGTAGGATTGCCCAACCTTCCTTCCGAGGAGTGGCTGGTGGGTTTGAACCGCCAGCCGTCTGGTTAGCAGGCAAGTGTCTTAGCCACTATGCTACCAGAGCTCCCATCTATAGAGAGATTTATTTCAGGTAATGTCTGATGCCATTTGGCAAGTCCCAAATTTGTGGGTCAGGCATGAAGCTGGAGGCTGATTCATGGTTGCAGGGTCTAACAAACCCAGAATTGGCTGTTCAGATAAACTGCTAGCTCATTCCCAAGAACTGAAATCAGGATGATGAATCAAACACAGGATCAAGAGAAAGAGAGCTTCGCTAGAGTATCCATATATATTGGACACATGACACACTCCCAAGGAAATTCCCCTTTCACCTGATTAGTTTCTCACATCAGATGACAAACCACTGAGAATCATGGCCTAGGCAAGTTAACACATAACCTTAACTGTCATAGTCCACCCCTTAACAACTCATCCCCTGTACACATCTTAAACTGTACCTCAATCTCAAAATAAAGACAATTATAAAAACATACTTGCATCTAACATGATATAACTAATAGGCATATAAAAAAAAATGCCTTAAGCCTGTTTGCATCTTATATTTTGTGGTAAGTAATAAAATATGAGAAAAAAACAAAGATATTTTATATACATACATATAGATAGACACATACTCACACACATACATATATAACAAAACAAGGAACAAATACACAAAACAATTACAGTACTCATTTCTGCAATGAGTCATGTCGTGATAGCTGGTGTTTAGACCAACCTTCTTCCATCAGCCATTCCATGTTGCCTTTGCCCTCAGCAGGTACCTCAGCAGGTTTTGGTTCTTTGCCTGGTGGGACGATCCAAACCTTCTCTTCTGAAGGGTCTGGGCTATTCGTCATGTCAGAACTGGGCTTTTGTAGTTTTCCATCTTTAATTACAGAATATGGTAGTACTAAGAGATATCCTAAGGAATCTGCTGTATTGCAGAACACTCTACCTCTATTATATAATAACAATTCAGTTTCCCTTTGGTAATCAGGATCAGTAACAACAGCCAGTATGATAACTCCCTTCTTTGTCTGTTGCTTCAGAGGCATAATAAGTCCTAAGTGGCTGGATAGCATTCATCTTCCAGTTCAGTGGAATCAGTGTTGTGTCTCCTGGTGGGAGCAGGCCTCCTTTTGGAACTAAGACCTCTACAGTCACAGGGACAGGAAGCAAAAATTTTGCTAGTGGGTTACTAAATATAATAATGAGTGGTTTCATTAACATTTCCCTTTCTTGATTTCCGAACCTATGAATCCTGGCTATGGGAGAAGCAGCACCAAATACTAGACACTGGCTTAGAGCGTATACAGCATCCTGGAGAACATTGCCCCAACCCTGCAAGGTTTTGCCATATAGCTGGTGCTGTAATTGTGTCTTTAGAAGGACATTCCAGCATCCTATTAAGTCAGCTGCTTCAAAGTGATGAGGAACATGGTAAGACCAGGGAATTCCATGGCAATGGGCCCCTTGTGGTACTTCATTTGCTGTGAATTCAGTTCCTTTATCTGAGGCAATGCTGTGTGGGATACTGTCTTGGTTACCTAATGCTACTGTAATAGAAATACCACAAGTGGATGAGTTTAACAGATTATTCTCTTACAGTTTTTTAAAAAAAAAAAAAAAGGCTTACTTCTGTCAGTCAATTCTGACTCATAGTGGATTTCCAAAGCTGTAAATCTTTATGGAAGTAGATTGCCTCATCTTCTTCCTCCAGAGTAACTGATGGGTTCGAGCTGCTGAACTTTTGCAGCCAAATGCCTTCACTGCTATACCACCAGAGCTTCTCTCTCACTTTAGGAGGCTAGATGTCCTCACTTTAGGAGCCTAGTTCAGAGCACTGGCTTTAGGGTAAGTGTTTTTCTCTATGTGTCTATTGGTCCTAGAAGGATCCCAGCACAGGGACCGTTGGTCCAAAGGACACGTTCCACTCCTGGCTCCTCTTTCTTTGTGGCAGTAGGTCCCCCCCTCTCCTCCTTTCTCTCTCCTTTTATCTCTTATAAGATTAAAGGCATTACAGGCCACACACCAAAAAAGCTCCCCTTACATTGGATCAGGTCTGTGATGAGACTAAGGGTGTTGCATCCTACCCTTTATTCTCTTACACCTCAGATCACATCATGAGGTATCATTAAATATTTGCCACATTATATCATTACCTAACTGCTAAACCACTGAGAAGCCCAGCCAAGTTGACACAAATTTTGGGGGGAAACAATTCAATCCATGACGTACACCCTAACAGTGGACAAGCCATTCTGTAAGACCATGGATTATAGTTTTGCAGACATTGTATACAGGGAAAGCAAATCCATATCTCAGGTGATTGTCTGTCCTTGTAAGAATAATGATGGAAGTGATCCAATGTAACATCTTGAAAACAAGCTGCTGGCTAATCACCCCTAGGAATGATGCCATATCAGGTACTTAGTGTTGGTCTCTGCTGGGCACCCAGAAGTGGCTCTGGCCAAATCAGCCTTAGTGAGTGGAAGTCCCTATTGCTGAGCTCATGAATAACCTCCATCCCTGCCGCCATGGCCACTTTGTTCATGAACCCATTGGACAATGACAGAAGTGGCTGGGGAAAGAGCTAACTGATATCAACAGAATATATGATCCTATCTACTTGATTGTTAAAATTCTCCTCTATCAAAGTCACCTTTGGTAAGCATTCACATGAGACACAAATACCTTCACCTCTTTGGCCCACTCAGAGAGGTCTGTACATATGACATTTCCCCATATCCCCTTGTCACCAGTTTTGGTTTTGATTTTTGTGATTTGGGTGAAACTTTATACAGCAAATTCATTTTCCATATAGCAGTTTATACACATTTTGTTTCATGACCAAACCAGGGGGAAAAAAAAAAAAAACTACCATCAAGTCGAATCCGACTCATAGCAACCCCCTTTGGGCTTCCGAGGCAGTAAATCTTTATGGAAGTAGATCACCCAGTCTTCTTCTGCAAAGTGGCTGGTGGGTTTGAACTGCCAACCTACTAGTTAGCAGTCAAATGCCTTAGGCAGAACACCACCAGACATTGATTGCAATTTCCCACAGTGTAACAGCTCTCATCCCACTTCCTCCCTGTATCCTTCCCTACCATGCACTCCCACCCCCTGAGCTATCTCCCCATGCAAATGCGTCCCTTCTATTCTCCCATAATTGATCACTCCAAGGAGTGTATCTACCTGATGTAAATGTTCACCCTGTATACCTATCTATTATTTGGTTGGAAGCAGAGAATGAAGATCAGTTCCAGACCTGAAAGGTAACTAGGAGCCATAGTCTCAGGAGTCTCACCAGGCTCTCTCAGACCAGAAAACCTGGTTTGTTTGTGTTTTTAATGATTTTGAGTTGTTTTCCACCTTTTTCTTACATTCTATCTAGGACCTCCTATTCTGATCCCTTTCTGTGTGGTTAATAGTGGTAGCCAGGTACCATCTCATTCTCCTGGTCTCAGGGTTATACTGTAGGCTGTGGTTCTCATGGTCCACTAGTCCTTTGGACTAATTGTTTCCATGTGTCTTTGATTTTCTTCATCCTTCTTTGCTCTGGACAAGGGGAGCCAATTGTTGTATCTTAGATGGCTGCTTACAAGCTTTTGAGACCCCAGTTGCTACTCACCGGAGTAGAATATGGAACAATTTTTTCGTGTAGTATGCCAGTTGAGCTTGATGCCCCCCGTGACAGTTGTCCCAAGCCTGCAGGTCCAGCTACAACCACCCCTCAGGGTGGTTGTCTGTGGCCAAAAGTTATCACAATTTTGCCCCTTGTTAGCTCTATTATATGTTGGGATATTCTTACAGCACATACAAATACACATGTAGAAACCAACCCTATACATGGTCACGGACACACTCATCCTACCTAGACATACCT